CATCCAGCAGCAGTTGTGTGTTAAGCAACTCAGTGAGGTTAACACCCACACTTCAGACTAGGGCTGGGTGGAAGGTGCGAACAGGATTGGTTTGCCATGATTTCTATTCTTTGTTCTAGCTCCAGGGAAAGGAAGTGAGGATCAGTGTTTGAAAAGACAGGCACTAATTCCCAGAGAAGTATAGTATCCTCTCCACCATGAACTATATGGGCCCTGGGAAAGAGGGAGAACTGAAACGCATGTAAGGATCCATGTGATTTTTTTTGGTCTTAGTGGCTACTGCTTTAGTGAGGATGGAAGATCTAGACAAGGCAAAGAAAATATTTACTTAAACACTCTAAAAGCATTGGTATTTGAAGTCTGTGTGAATCTCCTCAGTCACATCAGAGAGTTGTGGTTACAAACTTATCATAACAAGGGTGCTGTGTGTGAGGGCAGGGAAGTAATGAAACATGGCTGATAATGCCTGTTCAGGCATGCATGAAGATTGTAATGTGCTATCTTCCTGCAGTATCATTGCTCTGTGTTACTCTCTGCCGTGAAGGGCAGTGAAGCAGGCTCAGGTTATGTAGATTTTTGTCATGTTTGTCTGTAAGCTAAGACCAGGGCTTTGCTTTACTGCACTGCTGATGTTCTGATTGGACTTGTTGCTGGACTAATGTTCCTGACCAGTGTGTATGTCAATCCTGAGTGCCAGTTGTATCAGTTGCAGGTAGCCAGTTTTCTGACAGGAGGCTAGTCACAAATGTTTTAGCCCCCGAAAATTATTCACAGCCAAGTGATGAGCAGTCAACGCAAATGGACGGATGTGGATGCAAGCATCACTGAGCCTGTCCTGCCCCAGGAGCAGGATCCTTTGAGAAAAGAGAGCCTTTTCCTCTCCTTCCATACACACACTGCCTACCAGCAGCTGCATTAAACAAATCACGTCTTTAAGGTTCTTTTGTGTTATTTGTCTTCCATCCATCAAATTCCTTCTCTTGCCATTCTTCTGCCCCAGACTGTCTTCATTGTCGTTAGTATACACAGCTCTGCCCCAGAGCCCAGAAGCACTGCAGGAGCAGGACACATCTCTGTCTTCCCCAGCTATCTTGTTCTCAACCTTCATGACAGTCTTAAAACCCTTGCCAGATTCTTGCTTTCCTCCTTCCTCTTATTTTCCTTTTCCCAGTTGCCCTCTTCTTTTTCCGCTGATGACCTCTACTTGCAGAGCAGTTAGGATTTGCCCAACAGTGCTGTACTGCAGCACAGCCTGGGGCCTTGGGCCTATATGAACACCCTGGATCTGTGGTTTATGTGCACATGGCTTGATCTCTAAGTACCAGATGTGCTCTTCTTGTGCTTTTCCATCATAATTTTCAGTCCAAGCAAGTTCCTTGTTTTATCTGGGGAGTCTAGATTAACTTTGAAATTGTCTCTAACTGTCTTGGACAGTAGTCCAGGCTCTGTTCTCATGCTCTTTGCTAGCCTCCCACTTTTAGCAGCACTATTCCTCATTATACATTTGTTTGACTGCATGGGAGTTTCTTTTCTTTTCTTAATTGTCTAAATGAGAAGTAACATCACATAATATAACGCAGAAAACAGTTCTGAGGTCTTCTGAGTGCATGTTACAAATATGAGTGCAGATTTTATTGTTTTCCAGCAAGCTAATTTAGCATTTTGCTTATGCAGATTGGTGTATGTGATAATTCTGTGGAAGATTTGTTTTTATGCTAAGTAGTGAAGATGAACAAATGTCCTCAATTTTGAGCATTGCTTGATATTGTACTGCTGTTAATTACTGGAAATTGGTTCCAGGAAAGTGCTTACATAAGGCAGGTTAGAATGACCTGCAGGAGAGGAGGAGAAAAAGAAAGTCTGTGGGAACAGGAATAATCATCACTGTATTGTGGTTTTCCAATTTCTGTCCATCAGTGAAAAAGTATCTTCCAGGAATGGCTGATAAACTGTCATTTATCAGTTTTATAAACTACTGGTTGTCAGGACTAGTTTGTGTTAAAATGGTAGTAGGATATCGAAAGGTCTCCAGGTTCTAAGAAGGAGAAGACTTTGAGTTGTTTCTTTCCAGATTTTTTCACCCACTGTTTTTTATTTTTAAAAGGGCTAGGCTTTTTGTAAGGAAAGTTCTTTTTTTTTCCACTAGCCAAACACCACTGAAAAAACCAGTTTTATCATCAATTATATCCAAACAAGGTCATGGTTTGTGGGTTACTGTGATATTACAAATACCCCCTCTTTTTATTTAAACAACTAGTTGTATTTTTATTTTAAATGGGGGAAAATCAGAAAAGATTGATGATTTATTTTATAATCCAAGTAGATCGATGTGGTTTAGAGATGTGTACTACATTGTGCAAAATAAGCTCCTGTCTCTTTGCAGGTCTTAATACAGTTGCATGGCTACATATGTCCATTTCTTACATGGAATTTCATGTGGTAATTTGGTCTGTAATAGATTTGATTGTTAGATCCTGCATATTTTGTGCTTTCACTACCTTTTAACAGATCAGACAAACTGCCTCTAAATTCTGTTCAATATGTGTCACAGTCAGAGCTCATTTCTAGAGCTAGTTTTGTTTGGAAGTAATTTAAGCTTGCACAGAAGTGGAGAGCTAAAAACCAACAGATCTTGCTGAAACTATCAAAAAATCTTTGCTTCTGGCCAACATGCAAACATAAAAAATTTCAAGCCAAAATAAGTCTGAGGGAATTAGAGGAAAGTATGGGAATAGAGAGATGGTAATGTCAGCCACATTCCACTAGGTTTATTAAGTATTTTATCCTAATTGTGTACAGGCCTTTTCGTATGATAGCACTAGAGTTACAAGCCAGTCCTACTCCCTATTGCCAGTGAAATGTCAAAGCCAGCTATAATCTTTCACAAGCAGTCTTCCTTCTCTATGCATTTTTAATTTCTCTGAACTGCACACAGAGCTTACAGGATCTGGATGATAAACCAGAGTCAAGCACATGTGATTCCATAGACAGCTAGTTAGGTAACACTATAGGTTTTTTGTTTGTCTAAGAGATGCACGTTGACATAAAGATGGCTGCATTGTCCTGCTGTGCTATGGAGTTTTACCGCTTGTACAGGTCTTAGATATGTGCTGCCTACTGGATAAACTTTCACTACACTGAGGAGTATCTGAGGCTGACAGGCACTTCTGGAGATCATTTGGGCCAGCCTCCTGCTCAGAGTGGGATTATATAGAGCAGTTTTCCTAGGGCTGTGTCTGGTAAGGTTCTTTGTACCTACAAGGGCGGAAGCTCCAGAACCTCTCTGAGTAACCTATTCTGGTGTTTAACCACACAATAAAGAAGCTTTTTCTTATGTTTAAGTGAGTTTTCCTGTACATCAGTTTGCGTTTGTTGCCTTTTGCCCTTTCATGAAGAACCACTGAGAAAAGTTTTGTTCCATCTATTTCACAACCTTCTATCAAGGAGATATTGATTATACCCTCTGAGCCTTCTCTTCTCCAGGCTGAACAGTCCCAGATCTCTCAGCCTCTCCTTCTGTGACAAATGCTCTAATTGTTCATCATCTTTATCACCCTTTGCTGGACTCTATCCTGTATGTCCGCATCTCTTTTGAACTGGAGAGCTCAGAGTCAAACATTGGCCCAAATATATGTCACCAGGGCTGAGCAAAAGACAAAGATCACCTCCCTTAATCTGCTGGCCATGCTCCTCCTAAAGGAGCCCAGGGGGACATCGGCCACCTTTGCCACAAAGGCACATTGCTGGCTCAAAGTCAACTTGATGACTACCAGGACACCACATCTTTTAATGCCAAGCTGCTCCTCAGCCAGTTGGTGTCCAGCCTATCCTCATGCTGTGATCTATTCCTGCCCAGGTACAGGACTGGGTTTTCTGAACTTCATGAGCCAAGATTACATCATCATAAATCCATCCTCACCACTCCCAATCATCTTCTTGTCCCAAACACGTTTGGAAAATTTGCTTCATCACCTTCCCCAGGAATAGAGTGTGGCTGGCCAGTTTGTAGTTCCCCAGATTCTTCTTGCCCTTCTTGAAGATAGGAGTGATCCTTGCTTTCTTCCAGTCCTCAGGGACCTTTCCCAATTGCCATGACCTTTTAAAGACAATTAAGAGTGGCCTTGCAGTGACACAGGCAAGTTCCCACAGTTCCTCTGGGTGTAGCCTGTCAGAACTTGTACATGTCTGGTCTGTTCGAACATTCATTAACCTGATCCTTCTTCATCCAGGGTGAACCTTCTTTGCCCTGGACTTTCTCCCTAGTCATAGGAACCTGAGGTACCTGAAAGCTGGTTTTACCAGTAGAGAAAGTGACAATGGCACTGGGTACCTTGGCCTTTTCT